TACCGACCCGGCCACCGGCCGAGTCGTGGAAGATTACTGGCCAGCTTCCATAAGGATATTAGGCGATTTGAAGTTTCTCGACAGCTTGAAGAACTTTGACAAGGATAACATACCGCCGGCGTATATGAAAATAATTCGGGACAAATTTATAAACGACAGAAGTTTTCAACCCGAGGCTATCAAGAAAGTTTCGACGGCTTGCGAAGGTCTTTGCAAATGGGTGCGGGCGATCGAGGTTTACGATCGAGTGATTAAAGTCGTTAAGCCGAAACAAGTGATGCTGGCAGAGGCCGAGGCTGCTCTTGCCAAACAAATGGAAGCTTTGAACGCTAAAAGAGCATTGCTTCTGGAAGTTACTCAGAAATTGCAAGCGTTGAACGATGAATTTGTCGAATGCATGAAAGAAAAGAAGAAGCTCGAGGATCAGATTGATTACTGTATGAAAAAGTTGGAAAGGGCTGAAAAATTGCTAGGCGGTTTAAGCGGAGAGAAACATAGATGGCAGGAAACAGCTATTATGCTAGGTGCGAGTCTGTATAACGTTATTGGAGATGTTTTATTATCTTCAGGGGTAATTGCTTATTTCGGAGCTTTCACCGTAGAATATAGAAATAAATTAATCGAGGAATGGCATAAATCTTGCGTGGAAATAAAAATCCCATGCAGACAAAAGTTTGATTTAATCGATATTTTGGGTAAATCGGTGGAGATCAGAGCATGGATAATTTTTGGTTTACCAGCGGATCATTTTTCCGTGGAGAATGCTATAATCGTGAAAAACGCGGATCGTTGGCCGCTTATGATCGATCCCCAAAACCAAGCAAATAAATGGGTAAAAAATATGGAGAAGGAAAATAATTTGGCGGTGATTAAACTGTCTGATCCAAATTACGTGAAAATAGTAGACACTGCTATACAGATTGGCATACCTGTTTTGTTGGAAAATATTTTTGAAGAAATAGATGCGATATTGGAACCTGTGCTTCTCAAAAACGTTTATAAAGAACGTGGTGTTTTATATATAAAATTTGGGGAAAATGTTATCGAATACGATCCTAATTTTCGATTTTACATTACAACGCGTTTAAGAAATCCTCATTATTTGCCAGAAATAGTTGTGAAAGTAACGTTGTTAAATTTTATGATTACACCTCAAGGACTTAAGGATCAATTATTAGGTATCGTCGTAGCCAGAGAATTGCCTGTTCTCGAAGAACGAAAGAATCAATTAATCGTGGAAGAAGCGAATAACAAAAGAATATTGGAGGAAATAGAGAATAAAATTTTAGAAGTTTTGTCTGTAGCGGAAGGGAATATTCTCGAGGATGAAACGGCCATTACAATCTTGTCGACCTCAAAGAGATTGGCCGAAGAGATCGAGGCTAAGCAAAAAATAGCTGCTAATACGGCATTAGAAATTGATTTCGCCCGTGGTAAATATAAACCTGCTTCCGAGCACGGCTCCGTTTTATTTTTTTGTATTTCCGAATTAGCAAATATCGATCCTATGTACCAATACTCTTTACCGTGGTTCATTCACCTGTATGAAATGTCGATAGCTAAAAGTGAACATAGCGACGATCTCGAGATTCGAATAAAAAGCTTAAATACATATTTTACGGCTAGTATTTACAGAAACGTGTGTCGTTCTTTATTCGAAAAGGATAAATTGATATTTTCTTTCGTTTTATGTATCGGCCTTTTACGTGCCGATGATAAAATCGAAGAAGATCTTTGCACATTTTTATTAGCGGGTGACGTAGTTCTGGACAATCCTTACCCTAATCCAGATCCTTCTTGGTTGAGCGATAAATCTTGGGCCGATGTAGTTAGAGCTACAAATTTGCCTAACGTTGAGAAATTAAAAAAGTCTGTCGAGACGCACACACTGCAATGGAAACATTATTTCGACTCGGTTAATCCTCAAGAGGAGATTTTCCCAGAGCCGTATCAGGATGAGACCGAGACTTTGAGAAAGTTGGTCATACTTAAATGCATAAGGCCGGATAAAATTGTGGTTGCTGTGCGAATGTTTGTTGCATATAATATGGATCGTTCTTTCATAGAACCTCCTCCGTTCAATCTTCAAGCATGTTATAACGATTCAACCAACGTGAGCCCTCTTATTTTTATTCTTTCTCCTGGATCTGATCCAATGGCGAGTTTAATCAAATTTGCGGAAGATTATGGAATATCAAAAGAGCATTTAATGACTATATCATTGGGACAAGGTCAGGGTCCTATAGCTATAAATATGATAAATAAAGGGATACAAACCGGAGAATGGGTAGTTCTTCAGAATTGTCACTTGGCAATTTCTTGGATGAAAGAATTGGACGCAGTTTGCGATGAAATTATTACACCAGAGAATACGCATGATAAATTTCGATTATGGTTAACCAGCTATCCATCCAAGGATTTTCCAATTTCTATATTGCAAAATGCGGTCAAAATGACTAACGAACCGCCAAAAGGATTGAAGAGTAATTTGTTGAGGAGTTATACGAATGATCCAATATCGGATTCAGTTTTCTTTAATCTTTGTACTAAAATAAGTCATTGGAGGAGCTTACTTTTTGCTCTATGCGTCTTTCATGCTGTTATTCAAGAAAGACGTAATTTTGGACCATTGGGTTGGAACATTCCTTATGAATTCAATGAATCAGATCTTCGTATTAGTATTTTACAATTGCAAGTAAGTTTACAAGCATGAGATATCTTCGTATAGTAATGGTACAAGTATTAACTATTTTATATAGAAAATAATTAAAAATAATTAATTAATAAATAATCAAGAAATATTATTTTATACATCAAATGTAACGTCTTTTTAAAATTATTCTATAACAATTTTTTATCTTTTCTCTTTTTTTAGCTATTTTTAGACGATTATGAAGAGGTACCATTTGATGCACTTCTTTACTTGACCGGTGAATGCAATTACGGTGGTCGTGTGACTGATGATAAAGATAGACGTTTGTTAAATACGTTATTGCGAGAATATTACAATGAGGAAGTTCTTATCAATCCACAGTAAATTATACGCTTTACATATATATTTTTTATACGTTCGAGAATATATTTTACTTTAAATGAACTTTAATATATACTTTAATACATGAACTTTTTATATTTTTAATACAGATATTGTTTTTCACCAAGTTGTGTATACCGTTTACCAGAAAATACTGATCATCATGGATGTTTAGATTATATTTACAATCTACCTATTACTCAACATCCAGAAGTATTTGGTTTACATGAAAATGCAGATATAACAAAAGATAATCACGAATCATTGCAATTACTTAGAGGAGCTTTGTTGACACAGCCACATATTACTGGAGTGGGAGTTGAAAGGGATATTGACGAAATGGTTTATAATTTATGCGATGATATTTCATCGAAATTGAAGATAAAATTTGATATTTTAGCAGTATCTAAAAAATATCCAGTACTTTATATAAATAGTATGAACACGGTTCTGCGTCAAGAACTTATTAAATTTAATCACCTTGTTGATACGATTAAAATAACATTAGCTGATGTACAAAAAGCCATTAAAGGATTAACTCTGATGTCCTTTGAATTAGAAGAAATTTTTTCGAGTATGAGTATCGGTAAAGTGCCGCTTACTTGGAATAAAGTGTCTTATCCTTCTCTAAAACCGTTAGGAAGTTATATTAATGATTTAATAGAGAGATTAAACTTTTTTCAAAATTGGATTGATTATGATGCACCAATTGTATTTTGGATATCTGGATTTTTTTTCACACAATCTTTTCTTACGGGTGCTTTACAAAATTATGCCCGCAGACATAAAATTCCAATTGATAAATTAGATTTTGAATTTGAAGTAACCGAGTTTGAAAATGATATCGACATTGCACCATCTTATGGCGTTTACATAAAGGTAAGATTTTTATTATTATAATTAAATAAAAAAAAAATTGAAAATTGTAAGGGATAAAGAAAAAAAAAGATAAACTATCAGAGAGATGAACTTATGGCTCTATTATTTATCCGAAAATTCGAATAATATATTAATAATGAAAAATGAACGCGTTAATGAATACTTTGAGATCGATATACTTTTATATCTATACTAGAATTAATAATGTGCATAAAGAAACTTATGTATTAAATTTTCTTAAGAAATAATATTCTCTTAAAAAATAATATAAGAATCAAATAATATATATAATTTTTATGATAGTATTATTATATATTAAAGGAAATTAGTTTATTTATAATATATGAAACTATCTTTAAAAAATGTATTTGAATTTTTAGGGTCTATATATGGAAGGAGCAAGATGGAATAGAGAGATAAAAGAAATCGACGAATCTAAACCGAAAATAATGTTTGATCTTCTTCCTATAATATGGTTGAAACCTGGTATAAAAGCTGAATTTATTATTGAATTCATGTATCATTGTCCTGTATATAAAACAAGTGAAAGACGTGGTGTTTTAGCTACTACTGGTCATTCTTCTAACTTTGTATTATATATTTTGCTCCCGACGAAAGTCAAAGAATCTCATTGGATTAAAAGAGGAGTAGCTTGTTTATGTCAATTAGATGATTGAATTATCAAAAAAAAAAAACAATTTACAATCAATTTTATCCATATATATGTCAAAATAATATTAAATTTAAAAATTATACATAGAAAGATATATAATATAAAAGAACATTTTTGTTTTAATTATTTTTCTAAAATTGATCTGCTATTTTATATATTTATAAATATTTTATATGATTCTTTTATCTTTTTTTATATCCGATAGATATATAATATAATAATGTATTAACACAGTTTATTTGAAATAAAAAATTTATGCACCATTTCTCAAATGGATTATAAAATAAACATAAGAATAAATATCATAAAAATAAAATACATTCATGCAACATATTTATTTTCAATAGATATTATTAAATATAATTTGTATATATATATTATTGTTATTATATAAAAATATTTTTTTTAAGTTTCAATATGTTTCTTATAGAGCATATTAAATCAAGTAAAATAATTTTCTCAAAGTAATTTAATCTTCAGAATATGTAACTCCAATCTGTTTTCGAATCTCATCTTCTAATCGTGCAATTAATAAAGAATGATTATGTGGTACTTTAGGACTTTCAATCATACCTAGAATGAAAAAAGACTATTAAACAAACAATTTTTAATTAATATATAGAATTAGTATACCTAAATTTCATCAACTAATTATTTGAGTGATTCGAAAACGATATTATGTCATCGTGCAAATAAAATTTTTTTAAAATGCTAAAATAAAATATATTTTAATTTTTCTTTTTTTTTTAAATTAATCAAAATAAAAATAATTTACATTTGAATAATATTTTTTTATTAATTTAAAATAAATAAAAAAAAATGATACCTTTTAGAATACAATTGCGAACTTCATTGGCTTCATAACTCAATCCAACACTATTAATAAAATTAAACTTGGATTTAGTTTCAGGAAGAGAAACATTTACTATTTCATTCGGCAATTCTACAGTCGTCGGACACCAAAACTTTGGCACTTTTATCATTCCTTTCGTACCAATAATATAAGCCTCATTGGGCAAATCAACTCGGGAATGAGTAAGAATAGTTGCAGTATGATTTCCTTTATAAAGAAAACTAATAGATGTAGATTGATCAACTCCTTCTTCGTTCAAACAACCAGTAGCTTGTACAGTATGAGGCATTTCATTATCAAATATTAAACAAGCAAACTGTATTCCATATACTCCTAAATCCAATACAGTTCCTCCTCCCAGATTTTTTATACTAAGCAAAAAAAAATATATTTTTTAATATAACATAATAAATTCGAAAGTTAGGATATATTTTCTACAGCAGAATAAATTAAATTATGTTTATTAATATATAAATTTATTTTTGCAATTTTTGAAATTTTAATTATTTTAATTATTTAGATACATAGAAATTTATAGAAATTTTTAAACTTTTTATTTTTAATATAAAAAATGATCGTTACGTACTTCAATCGTTCAACATCAGGCATTTTAAATCCAAAAGATACTAAAACTTGATAAATTTCTCCAATACTTCCAGATTCAATTTCTTTTTTAAGTATTTCATATATGGGAAAACATCTACTCCAAATACCTTCCATTAAAAACAATTTCTTTTCTTTTGCTAAATTTATTAATTCTGTTGTTTGCTTTAAATTCATAGTTAAAGGTTTCTCACATAAAACATGTTTTCCATGATTTAACATTAATTTGGCAATTTCAAAGTGTTGAGGATGCAATGTTCCAATATATACAACATCTGTAAATTTGAAAAGAAATACTATAAAAAATATATCAATTATATTATAATATATCAATTATAATATATTAAAATAAAATTATAGACTATAAAATTTTTGTAAAATTTGTTTTAAATAAATTGTTGAACAATAGTCTTTTGCCTGATAATGGTTGATTTTAAACAATTTAGAACATAATTTTTTTTTATATTTAATGTCTGATGTCGATTTTGACAAGTGATCGAGTTGTTTTCTAGCGATCATACCAAAAATAAATTCAAATTCTATAACATTAATTTTGATTTAGAATAGATATAATATTATTATATATTATAATAATTAAGATTTCTTGCTAATATGAATATATAATTTCCTGACCCATAAAAGACAAACATATTCCATGATGAACTTTTTTCAAAGCAATAATACTTTTTTTTTAAATTTGTCATCAATTAATAAATAATATATCATTTTAAATGATTTATAACTGCATCTTCAAAGATTATCTAAATCATTTTTAAAATCTTCGCGCCACTTTTTTAAATATATAACAAAATTTAATCGTTAGTATTATTACATCATAATAAGTATAACTAAATAGTTACAATTAAAATAGTAAATAATTCAGTTATTTGAAAAATTAAATAATTAAAATATGAATAATTCTTCGTAAAAAAAATAATTTCTAAAAATTTCAAATTTACATTTTTTTACATTTTATAAATAAATAAAACTTTTTGATTAGATTTTATATAATTTTAAGAAAAAGTTATAATTTTTAATGTATAAACAAACCAATATCATTATCCTCCGCTAATTTTGTATAACTGTCGAATGCTTTTTTAATTTTATGCAAACTAGAAAAATTTTGTGCTCTTGATAATTCACGTGCTGCTACTGCAACTACTATATGCTCAGATTCTGGTAATGTTTGTAAAGATGATACGAAATCATGTGATATTTTTCCAGCACCTGCTATACCCCAATGAATAGCCATCTGTAATAGCGTAATTAATAAATAATTTAATCATTTGATATTAATGATATATAATTATGTAATTTTAAATTTATAATTATTATTTAAAATTATATACAAATATATGTTATCGCATACGCGCGCGCGCGTGATGTGTGTATACAAGCGCGAGGTGTACATATATATTATATATTTTTAAATAAAAAATATAAATTATAGCATAATCGATAAGAAAATAATTTTATACATAAATAAGTACAAAATAAAAATAATTTGATTATTTTTTTTTGTTCCAAAAAAAAATAATGTTTAATATAAATTATAAAATAAAATTTAAATAAAAATCGAATCATTAAACAAACACATATGTGTATAATATTTCAGTTTTAATATATAGATATTATAACATTATAATCATAATATATTATAATATTACATATTATACCTAATAATTATATCTAATAGTATTATATCTAATAACTTTTGAAAATGATATAAAGCATTTTTAAATTTTTCTACTGAATACATAAAAGAAAAAGTTTAAATATTTTCAAAATATTATATTATTATTATCCAATTTAAAAACAATATCGAAAAAAATTTTAATTAAAATTGAATGTTAAATAAAAAAATAAATAAAAGAAAATAAATTTACAAATAAATATCATTTATTATTTTGTATAATATTATTAATGTTAAATAAGTTTTTCATTAAAAACTTTAATATGATAATAATAAATGGAATCAAT